GGTTTTAGTGGTTTAGGGTTGAGGATATAGGGTTTTAGGTGAGGCTTCAGATTGGAAGGGTTGAGGGCTTACTCGAACCCACGTAATGTAGGGGCCTTAATAATTAGACTAAGGTTTGGGGGGGGGGGGTATATTATTATACGAGAAGTTACTTTAGTTATAATAAGGAGGGCCCCCAAAACTAGTATCGGCATTTATTATTAAGGCCCTAACATTATTTAAGGGCTCCTTTCAGCGAAACCCTAAACCGTGGCTCTGTACGACCCAGGGCTTCTATGAGGCCTCTGAAACGGGTTGAATATAGGGGGCCGTAATAGTTAGGGTTAGAATAGGGTTTAGGGGTCCTTTGTACTATATCATAACAAGGAACCCCAAAAACAGTAGAGGGTTTAGGGGTCCTTTGTAGTATATTATAAGAAGGAACCCCCCCAAAAAAAAAAAAAAATATTTGTAGTATATTATAATAAGGAACCCCCAAAAACAAAATAGTATTAGAAATCCCTAAACCCTAAACTAAACCCTAAAACCCTAAACCGGGGGCTTAGCGCTTTTAGGTTCGGTTCAGGGCTTGAGGTTTTAGAAGTTAGGGTCCGGCTTTCGAAGATCTTCTGACGTGATGTCCCATCTCAGTAATGTAGGGACCTTGATAATCAGTTTAGGGTTTAGGGTTTAGGCTTGGGGTTTGGGGGGAACATTATGGTGAATAAAGAGCCGCAAGGAATCATGTTGGTAATGGTCAAGGCCCTACAGAAACCCTATTGACCAGGTTACACATGCCTCCAAGGAGGGTGTTCAGGTTTGCGAGACTTTGTGGTGGTTTATGGTGTAATGATGTACTACGGTTAATGATAGTTAATGATATAAATCCTACATGATCTGAAGGACCCTGAACTCCGGGAGGTATGGTATATTCCTGCACAATTGCGGGTAATGCCGGATTCAAATCATCAACCCTACACCCTAACCCCAAAACCCAAAACCCCTAAACCCCTAAATCCTAAACCCCTAAACCCTAAACCCTAAAACCCTAAAGCGCTAACGCCCTAAACCGCATGATGTACAAGGGGCCTATACTGCCTGTAGGATGTCAAAGTTCGCAGTGGCTGGGCTGGCTAAACCCTAAACCCTAAACCCTAAACCCTAAACCCTAAACCCTAAACCCTACACCCCTAAAAACCCTAAAATCCCTAAAAACCCTAAACTCTAACCCCTAAACCCTAAACCCTAAACCCCTAAACCCTCAACACTAAACCCTAAACCCCTGAACCCCCAAATCCGAAACCCCAAACCCCAGAACCGATGGGTGTCAGAGCTTGGGTTTCGGACATGAGCGAGTCTGGCACCAGGCTTCAGACAGGCTGGGTTTAGGGCTTTAGGGTTTATAGGGCTTAGGGCTTAGGGGCTTAGGGCTTAGATAGGGGTTTTGGGGTTTAGGGTTTAGGGTTTAGGGCTTTAAGGGTTAAGGGTTTAGGGGTTTAGGATATATATATAGGGGTTTTGGGGTTTAGGGCTTGGTCACCAAGCACCCAGACCTGACCATCAAGGCCAAAGGCCGCCCTCGTCCAGTTCGGAGTTTCAGAAGACCAAGGCACCCCGGCCTGAACCTTGCCTTGAAATAGGGAGCCCCAAAAACCCTGTTCTAAGTATTAAGGCCCCTACATTATATACCCGCCCAAATTGTAACATGCATCACTACCCTCCGAAACCTAGTAGACTGACTCACCCAGAGAACCCAATATCACTTAATTTATAGAATAGACCTAAAACTAGGGTTTAGGGTTTAGGGTTTCGGGTTTAGTTTAGGGGCCTTAGTAATTATGATTTAAGGTATATTCCCTAATTAAGGGGTATTGGGTTCTCTGGGCATGATTTTGCAGTCCCTGAACAATACACCCATCACAAGGCGCTTCAGGTGCAATTGGAGCTCAGGTCTTATTGGATTTCGGGTAGTCATAAACCCTAAAACCTAGACCCCAAGCCCTAAACCCATAAACACTGAAGATAACTGGGTATGTACCTCCAAACACCCTAAGGGTCCAGGTACCCAAATAGTATATACATGGGCCCTAAAGTACCTATACAGGGACTACATTAAGGCCAAAGTATATACTATTTGGGTACATGGGATCCTTAAACCCTAAACCCTTCTGGTACCCTTATAGAACCCTTAAAAGACCCCTTTAAAGGCACCCTTACAGGGTACATGGACCCTTAGGGACATAGTACTCGGGATCAGTTCCTCTCATCTTGCAAGGACAGATCTCCATCAGGAAAAAGTTTAGCGTTTAGGGTTTAGGGTTTCGAGAATTCCACAGAGTTTCAGGCCACAGTCTAGAACCCTAGAATATGGAAAGCAGTTAAAAACCCAGGTTTAGGCCACAGTATTCTAGAACCCTAGAATGTGGAAAGCAGTTCGAAGCCCAGGGTTTAGGCCACAGTACCCTAGAACCCTAGAATATAGAAAGCAGTTGCAAGCCCCCTGAACCCTAAAGCTTCAACCCCCTTAGACTCCTGAGGGTCCATGTACCCAAATAGTATATAGATTGGCCCCAAACTACCTATATGGGAGTTTCAGAAAATTGGGGGTACCTTATTTTGGGGATCCTTATAATAGGGATCCTACTATTTAAGGTACTATTATAGGGTCCCCTATTTTCGGAAACCCCCATATAGATTGGCTCCAAACTACCTATACGGGGACTACTTTAAGGTCAAAGTATATCTATTTGGGTACAAGGACCCTTTAGGGGACCCTCAAGCAGCTGCCTTGTGGCGGCCAAAGGTGTGGGCGTCGCCCAAGCGAGGGAAGCCGCGGCCATGGCTTTCGACGGGGAGCGGGCGAGAGCTCAACTGAGCCAAGGCCGGCGTTGGGGGTTTGGGGGTTCAGGATTTAGGGTTTAGGGTTCAGGATTTAGGGATTAGGGTTTAGGGTTTAGGGTTCAGGGTTCAGGATTTAGGATTTTTGGGGTTTAGGAAGAACCTAGGGCTTTGCAGCTTAGTTTTGTATGCAAAATGATGCAAGCGGCTCGGCTTGAGTGTTTGGCTGCTGCTTTTAATTTTAAAAGCAGCAGACAATAGCATTTAAAATGCTATTATCAGACTTTATACCTTCAAAGGAACATGAGAGAGAGAGAGAGAGACAGAGGGAGAGAGAGGGATGGAGAGACTGAGAAAGAGACAGAGAGAGAGATTTGGAGAGCGCTTCGTGTGGGTTCTGTCCATTCCTATTTTCGCATGTTGGGTTTGCCTGAACCCTGCACCCGGAATCGGGACTTTAACAGCTAAAGCAGGCCAGAACCCGTATACTTGCCAGCCTGTGCTTGTGGCTCCGAAGTGACTACAGGTCCTGTAAAAATGCTCTCTCTGACATTTCTCGGTAAGCTTAGAAACAGGGTACACTCTCCGAAGCACCGGACATCTTGCTCTTACATCCCCCTGTCTGAAACGCTGAAACTCGATAACGGTAACTTGAACCACTCTTCGAGACCTTCTACAATACAAACCCCACCGCTCCGGAGCCCGAAATTTCCGAAACACTGCCTAAACTAACCCTAAACCCCAATTAAGCCCTAAACTCTAAGCACTTTAAACGGTAACCCTAAACCGAAGGCCCTGAAGGCATCCGAAACACCTGCGAGCCTCCAAAGATCCGCGGGACTCTTCGAGTCTGCTCACACCCTCGACCCCAAACAGTAAAGCCTTAAGCCTAAAAACCCCGTTGCCCTATGCTATCTGACTGTACTCCCTGCCTAAACTAAACCCTAAACCCCAACTAAGCCCTAAACTCTAAGCACTAAACGGTAACCCTAAACCGAAAGCCCTGAAGGCATCTGAAGCAGGTTCCCAGGTCTGTAGGCGGCTGACACGATCAGTGAGCCGTCCTCACAACCGCACCTGAGCCCCAATTCAAGCGAAGCTTGACTATCTAAGGCCCTCGGCCCTAAACACCTCCGAACACCTCAAACCTAATCTACTAAACTTTATTAACTAACTAACTAACTAACTAACTAACTAACTAACTAACTAACTGATTAAATAAATGATTAAAGAATTTATACATATATATATATATATACATAGACATATATACACAGATATAAACACACTAGTTGTGCACATTCGCATATACTTATATGCAGGCACATTCACAATCATACATCCGAAACTGTATCTACGTAAACACACATATAGTCAGACTTCCGTACATATGTACATTTACATTCATTTCTCACAAAAATACATACTACATAGTAAAAGCATAGATATGTCATATCCATATACATACATATACGTACATGCACATACCTTCAGACATACGTACATACAGGCATACATACATACATACATACATACATAAATACATACAAAAATGCATACACACACATACACGCTCACCCACTCACTCATTCATTCACTCACTCACTCACGCCCCATGTACATACATACAAACACACATACACACATGCATGCATACAT